AAAGGAAACATGAAGTACAAATGGAAAACATTAGTAAATTTAAAAGCGAATTAGATACGTTAAAGGACGATCTATTGTCTGTTACACAAGGAGGATAAATTGACCATTGACTTAATCAGCCCCAGACATTGGCAAGCCCCTTACAGAGCCCGCAGCTAAACCCTAATGCAGACATATTCAGTCCTGTTAGAAGTCACATCCCAGATATGAATGTCAGTAATAGGAGTGATCCAGTGCGAAGGAAGCCACAGGAATTCGATGGGAAGGCACCGTGAAAAGCATATAGAATACAATTTGAGCTACTGGCAGAGATGAATGGATGAACAGAGGAGCAGAAAGCAGTATATCTGGCAACTAGCTTGATGGGACAACCACTGGAAATACTTGGACAGTTGTCAGCAGACACAACTATAGAGCACTGGTAGTGGCTCTAGAACTCAGGTACGGAACCCAAAATCAGTCAGAAGTCTACAGGGCTAGGTTTAGGATGAGAGTCCGTGCTAAAGGGGAGAGCCTGCGAGAGCTGGCACAGGACTTGGAAAGCATGGCACACAAGGCCTACCCAACTGCACCACCCGATCTCCTCAAGTTGTTGCTGAGGGATCAGTTTGTAGACGCCTTGGACAGTCCACAACTTAAGATATAAGTGAAGCAAGCACACCCCTCTACCATGCAGGATGCAATGGCCAGAGCTCTCGAATTTGAATCCTACGTTAAGTCCAGCACAGAGGTACCAAGGTTGGTACAGTCATCTGGATTCAAGGCCAGAAAAGATCAGCTTTCAGAGAGATTTGAGGGACTTTGATGGCACTGTAACAAACCTGGGCACAAGAGAGCTCAATGCTGGCAACTTCAACACAGGGGAGATGCCACAGCAGGAAAGGGTGGTATCCAGAAAGGTTGTTGGAACTGTGGAAAGCACGGACATTTGAGGAGCCAGTGTAGGAAGAATATTACTAACAAGTCGGCCTCAGGGATACCAGTAGTGGTTGGTGTTGAGGGATGCCCACCAAACCCCATTATGAAAGTCCCAACAGCTAGGTGTAAAATGCCAAGCACACACACAGTGTCTATGTGTCAGGAAAGCTAGGTGGCCAAAGGTGCAACTTTGTCATAGACTCTGTGTCTCGGCAAACCCTTGTGAGCATCAAGGTGTTAGATCATGAAGGAGTACCGGAAGTCATACAGAAGCTTTATGGTGTGACAGGACATTCTACAAGATTGTGGGGACCAGTGTGGGTAACTATCGAGCTCATGGGCATGAAAAACAGACAGAAAGTATACTTGGCTGACATTGAAGACCAATGCATATTAGGATTGGACTATCTACTTCCGAGGAAGTGTGTAGTTAACTTCGATAAAATGAAGTTTGGGAACAACAAAGGCCAAGTTCCGGTAACTGTTAAAGGAGAGGTTGAACTAATTAGGTGCCATCAAGCTGAAGTCAAGCCGACTGAAAGAATTGATGATGGTGAAGTGGAACCAAATATAGATACTAAGGCAGAACAGGAGAAAGACCAAGATTTGAAGCCAATGATTGATTTTCTAAAAGCAAGTGTTGTGCGCCCTGCTTGGGAGAAGGTGTCTAGTCTAAGCCCCGCGACAAAGCACAATTGGGCACAATGGGACCAGTTGAGGCTTGCAGATGGTATTCTTCTCTGGAGATGGGAAACTGCAGATGGGAAAGTGACGAGGGAGACGATCCACTATGTCATATGGGCCTTCCCATGGAGAAGACAACTTAGGAGACTTCCCTTTGGTCTTCCTGGGATTATGCAACCATACCTTGTCTCCTGGTACAAAGCTGACTTGAGTAGATCTCTTATCATAAGTTAACTTCATCGAATCAGCAGACGTTTTCAAGTTTGAATGCACTTGATGATGGATATCATCCATCCTTTCTGATAACACTTTCACAAACTCTGAGATATTCACAGGCAACTCTTCATAAGGTGGACATCCCTTATGCTTGGGTCCCCTTTTAGCACTACATGTACTGCATGTCCTGCACCATTCTTCCACATCTCGCCTCATACCTATCCAGTAAAATCTTTGTCGTATATGACTCAATGTCTTCTTAATCTGAGATGTCCTCCTGTTAAATTATCATGGGATTGACGCAGCACAACTTCCCGTAACTTCCTTGGTATAACTGTTTGCCAAGAGACGTGACTTTCCGGGTAAAATGTGGTCGGCGAAGTAAGCCAAAAGTAGTGCATGCCAACAGGCTTTGGCGTTATCACGGTCCAGGACATTTCAGTTGGGACGAAGTGGACAACAGAACAACTGACGCTGTGCTGAAGACGTGCCACCTGAAGAAGCCACCGTCGGAGAAGAAACTCTACCCAGTTTTGAGAAGGGAAACGGTGAAGCTTTAGATGAAGTTACTACCATTGATGTGACTGTTACTGACGATAGGACATTTCCTGATGATGCAGATGAACCCCACGTGAAGCAGAAGCCAACGAGACGGAGACCAGTACAGAAGAAGATAAATCCTGTAAAATTAAGAGACTTTGTTGAATTGTAATTTTGTGATTGTAATTCTGTACATTTGATTAAGTTATTGTTAATTGTTATTGGTTTATTGTATGTGGCTATTGTTCGGGACAAACAATACTAAGGAGGGGGCAGTGTTGCGTCAGCGAGGTCATGTCACTAGTGTCATGCCACGTTTTCTAGAAATATCCTGTTCCTTCAAGAATATGTTAGTCTTGTATATATATATATATATATATATAAGATGGTCACAACGTGACGGAAAATAGTGTAGTAAGTTATTGAACTGCAGTCAGAGAGTATTGTTGAAGTTGAGCACGTTCGTTGTTATAGCACGACTGTTGAAAATAAGTGTATCGGTAAAGTTATATTCAAAAAGAATAAATCAGTTTTATTAAGAAAGGACTTGTGTCGCTAAAGTTTCGTGGGAACGAAGTTACGGAAAATCAACTAACAAATGGAGACGTAACAATACTAGTGTGCAGACTTTTTTTTTCTGATTTTGTAGGGCTGAAACAATCTTGCTTCCCTCCTACATTTATTTTTTCCAGTAGGCAACAGCCTTGTTGAAGTTATATGCCTCTAGTTATGGACCTAGCAAAACAATTCCCATTAATGTGTTTAATTTGTCTGTTCACAAAGAACACCAAAATTTTGTTTTGGATACTAAACTCTTTTTCACACTTTGTGAGATACATGCAGAGTACAATTTTGCAAAGGAGTGCAAAATTTGGTAAAATGTCTGGAATGTCATTCAAAAGTGAATCAACAGAAACTTCTAGCAGTTAGTGCTTCTGTTTGTAGCTACACTGTGTGGACTTTACAGATCTTGTGCAGAACTGTAGAAAGCTACAAGAATGCATACACTGATTACTGTACTACCACTGAAGTAGCAGGAGCTGTACATTGATTACTGTACTACCACTGAGGTAGCAGGAGCTGTACATTGATTACTGTACTACCACTGAAGTAGCAGGAGATGTACATTGATTACTGTACTACCACTGAAGTAGCAGGAGATGTACATTGATTACTGTACTACCACGTGTACTACCACTGACGTAGCAGGAGATGTACATTGATTACTGTACTACCACTGACATAGCAGGAGATGTACATTGATTACTGTACTACCACTGACATAGCAGGAGCTGTACATTGATTACTGTACTACCACTGACGTAGCAGGAGCTGTACGTTGATTACTGTACTACCACTGACGTAGCAGGAGCTGTACGTTGATTACTGTACTACCACTGACGTAGCAGGAGCTGTACATTGATTACTGTACTACCACTGACGTAGCAGGAGCTGTACATTGATTACTGTACTACCACTGACGTAGCAGGAGCTATACATTGATTACTGTACTACCACTGATGTAGCAGGAGCTGTACGTTGATTACTGTACTACCACTGAAGTAGCAGAAGCTGTATTAATTTTTCCATGGCAAGAAAACAAATTCCCAATATTTTTTAAGGTCATAAATGTTTGATTTTTGGTTGGGAATTACGCCAGTATGCCCCTTATCTGGACTCCACCTTGACAGCAGTGATAGAACATTTAAATATGGAATTGGAAGTGATGAATCTGAGACTTGGCATGGCTTGAAGGCTTTAGCAACAATTCTATATTTGTACACTTTTATAAATAAACTTTACTGACTTATATGGCCTTAGTTTTTACCAAAAGAAATCCTTTATACCAGATTATTAATTTTTATAGTAGCTGTTAATAAAAGGCCTGGATAAATAAACCTACAGGCTTAGCCCCATTTTCCAGTAAGTTAAAAAAAATTATTAATCTTATACAACCAGGTGTAAAAATAATCACTAAAGACACAAAACAAACCTACCGACACTAGATCAGACTAATTATCAAATAGAGAAGTTTTGGGCACAGCTAGAATTTTTTCAATCCTTTTCCCAAAACTATTTTACTGCTAATGCAAATAGAAACTACTAACATATAGAAAAATATGTGAATTACCAATATCTGATTACTTTATTCTTTCAAGAAAAACAACATTAAAAATGTAATTCATTACTCAACCTAAAAAG